TGATCATAAAATAATGTATAATTTAAGCACTAATCAAATTTCCCCCTCACTTATTCAATACTTGTACTCAAGCATTTCTCAATTATCATGCAAAAAATCTTAAGTTGTCAACTCCAATTTCATAGAATTTCTAAGATTTCTAAGTAAATTCAATCAAGCAAGTGTCGAAATTCAAGATCAATCAAGCAAGGCATAACCAATTAAGTGTAAATCAATCAAGGCATTTCAATCATCCATCAATTTCAAAGAATTCAAGACTTAGTTCCTCACATGGGTTCACTCATTTCGCTCAAGTGTTTCGTGTAACTCCCTTAGACCGATGCTGGTGGCCCGATCCAATCTAGGATATCACATTAGGGCCACCGGAGCACCCACTGTAAAAAATCTCGAAAAATTAATTTTTTATTAAAACATGTAAAATCATAAAATATTTATATACACAATAGTGACATTTAACAATATTCAGAAATAAAATAGATTCCAGACTCGAATATAAAAACAAAATACAACCTACATGCCCCTAAACATGATGTACTCTGCAAGCAACGCCGGTGGAACTCCCTTACCGATGTCGATAATTGAATTGGTTCAATCCCTTTTAAACTGAAAATATGAGTAATAGAGTGAGCTTTTGAAAGCTCAGTAATACAGAACTACCAGATGATGCTGAAGAACATGCAAATAACAAATAAACATATGTTTCTTATGATTCGGACATATACAGATTTTTTGTTGAGCCGACGTCCCACTGATATATCAGATAGTAAAAGATAGAAAACTTTCAGTTCAGAGAAATGTTTCAGATGACTGGGTTCAGGAGATCAGAATAGGTTATCTAGTGTGTTCGCACAAAATCAGTGAAAATATATATATCAATTTTGAAGCAGTAGTAGTTTAAAACGTATCTTTAAAAACCATAGTAAAACCCTCCAACCGATCATCATATGTAGTTCCCTAGAACTACATAACCTAAGGGACACATTGGGGCCTGAGAGCCTACCCAAGAAAGATTCTCGGGGCTTCAAATCCTACCCAAGGGTTGCCTTAGGTCTATAAGGAATTACCAGTCAATGTTGAACCTATAAAAGGAATTACCAGCAGAGACTGAACCTACTAGAGATAAGAATTACCAGTCGATGCTGAACCTATTACAAGGAATGACCAGCAGCGACTGAACCTGCCAGAGATAGAAATTACCAGTCGATGTTGAACCTAATCAATGAATTACTAGCAACTACTGAACCCGTTAGAGTCTTCATATCAAATCCCAGAGTACCCGAATAAAAACATTTTTCAAACAGTAACAGAGATATCAGAAATCAGAGCAAAGATCAGAACAAAAATAAGAGAAAACATGTGATCATGGAACACTAGATGTTCCAGATATTATTCGGAGATACTAGATAATCTTTTCGGGCAGAGAAACACGGATCTTAAGTATACCAGTAGAATTCCAAAAATTAGAATCACTATCTAAAGATTTTATTAGTTGACAGGATCATCAGTTATTCAGAATGTGATTTATCAAGATCATATAGTATTCAGACATTTTTCAGAGGCATTAGGTAATCAGAAAGGTATTCAGAATCCTTTGCATCTGAGTTAATTGTGTTTTCAGATATGACAGGAGTGATTCCATTATTCAAAAATTCAGAGACATTTTGTTCATTAGGTTCTTGGAGAATTCTTAGCGATTTGAGTCGTTCAGGGAGAAACGAAGATTCATGGCATTTATTTGTGTTGACCTATCAGAATATCGAGTCAACCCGAACTGTACAAGACCCATCACTGATATATGTCAATCGGTCCAATCGTTGCACTTCCAAAGTATTCACTTCAGGGGTAAATTTCATAATTCCAATATAGATCTGGAATTTAAATCAATAATTCCAAGGTTCAAGTGGTTCAAGATATGAGTTCTCAGGTCGTCTCCATTATCACTAGCCATCCATTGTGCTTTTTACTCTATAAGCGTATCATTGTCATTTCATTCCAATCTGTCAGTGACATTACTTCTGATATATTATGCTTCAAGTATTCTAGTTCCTTTAAAGTTCAGGGTATTTGTTTCTTTGACCAGTAGAGGTTATTATAGTTATTACGAATCTCGATGACATTTCAGTAATTCATTTTAATTCAATCATATGTAATATTTCTGATAACTGGTCAAGAATATCTTTGTTGGGTTATCTTTCACCATCCGGGGAAGTCTTGGTTTTTTATAGTACAAGGGCATTTTCATAATTTTACCCCATAGGATTATTTTGGTAATTTCTTATCCACATAATCCCGGTATTTAACCTTTAACAAAATTTTATCAAAATTTACGGATCTTGAAAGCAATTCTTTATTATTGAATCACCGAACTTATTATTATTATTTCTGATTGATCTTCCACTTTCTTACGCGAGCCATATGAGTCATTTTGGTTACTGATTTTTTATCATATTCGGATCGAGTTTAGGAATAATTTACTATGTAGATGAGACCAATCATATTTATCCTTATATGTATCAATTTCCAACATGTTCCATAAAGCATGCATAAGGTAGAAATGTATTACCTCAATTTTTGTGCCATATCGGTCGACCAATTAAACTTCATTCGATCACTCTCAAACTTTAATCCAATGTCCAATAATTTCTCGAATACAAAGCAAAAAAATTTACGTCAGAACTAAACTTAAATGAGAAACCAACTTGAACCTAAAGATAAAACCTTGAAAAATGGCTTACCATGTGCAAATTTGGCAAAACGATCTTCGAAATTGGACTCATGACGTCGAAAAACATAAAATATGGCTTTTCAAAAAATTTGACTTTTTCGGTCAAAGTCAACGGTCTGACCGGTCAACTCTAACCAAAGTTAATGGGTCGAGTCAAAGTGGTTCGGGTGGGGCAGTTGAGTCAGATCGGTTCGGGTTGACTTGGCTCGGTTCAAATCGGGTTGACCGATTCGGGTTGGTCTATACCGACTGGACTGGTTCCAGAAGAATCTAGAGCTGGGGACAAGCCCCACGCGCACCCAGCGATGCGTGAAGCACGTGAGCCGGTAAGAATATGGCTGGTCGACGGTCGATTACTCCCTAGCTCATCAAACATCGATTGCAACCATCAATTTCACTTAAAATGAAATCAACCAAACCAAATAACCGAAAATAGAACCGGACTTACCGAACGATGATCGACGAAAGAAACGACGACGATACGACAACCCACTAGCTGGGTTTAAAGTGCACGGTGAAGGTGAACCCAATGGTGCAGGCAGTGAGGCAAGATAACGTCGATGGCGGTCAGAATCATCGAAAATGAGCGGCGGTCAGGTTTTTTTTACGGGTTTCATGACGTGATTTACAACGAACGTCACTGATTCACGATAGGCTAGGGGTTAGGTTTTTATCACCGTTCGATGGTGAGTCTATAGGTGGCGTCGAAATGGTGAAGGTGGCCAGACGGTAGTGGATTGAGGCTGCAAAGGAGGTCAACGGGGAGAGAGATTCGGGGAATTGGTTTGGGGACCAAAGTGGGGTTAAACCGATCATGTAAATTTAGTTTTCCCTGGGTCTAAAAAAATGGTCAAATTCGAGTTCCAATCCCTAGGTTTTCCTCTAACTTCCTAAAAAGGCCTGTAAATTTTGAAATCTTGCATTTTGGTCCTTAGTTTCTCCCTTGTTACTACCTTAATTCAACACTTTAAATTTAATAAAAATTTAGCCCCAAAATTGGGGCGTGACATTTCGGGTGAAAGAATCACTCAAGCTTAAGATAATCAACACATTACCTTAGGCTTGTAACTAAATCTAATCTCCACTACTTAGTATGAAAAGGATGTATTAATCAAGAGGACTTCAAATGGGTTGTAATTGGGCTAAGGTTCGGATAGGATAAAGGTTGAAAAATGGGGTTTCAAAAATTCAAGACATAGTAGAGAATATTTTGAAAATTTATTCAAATGAAGGTAAAATGAAAGAAAGGCGAAACAAAAAAACAAAGCTATTCACTCATTTTTTCTGTTTTTTCTTTTTTTTTATTTTCCTTTTCTGAAATGTTTTTTCTGCTCGAACAAAAAAAATTGCACTGAATTTTTGCTCACGCGAATCAAAACTGCATTGTTTAAATTTTTTTGTATTGAATTTCTGATATGTTTGAACTAAATTGCACTGGTTTTTTTCTGCTATTCGAACATGGTAAATTTTTTTATTGTTTTGTTCGATTTTGTACTTTATTTTTGAACAATTTTTTCTATTTTTTTAAATAATCTCACCTTGTCTTGAAGAAGGGTAACAAAAAGAGGAAAAACAAATTTGGCTCGGGTATAAAAATGTGGTGAATCAAAGAAAATGATATAAGGCTCAAAGTGGTTCTCTAGGGAAAATAAAAAGGGTAGGCTATTTTGTTTGGGGAAAAAAATGGGTTTAATCCTAATGTCTCTATCACATTAAAGTATCACAATCAAAAGTGTAGTCTCAACAGCATTGAATTACAAGTTCTAGAATGCAATCAATTAGTTCGACACACTCAATTAAAAAAAGAGAAAGAATAAAATATGTTCATTAAGCTCAAAATCACATGAAATGTCTATTGAACTAAGTCATGCATCCAAATCAATCAATGAATTCATCAAATTGCCACGAAAATTTACCTAAACTAATCATGACTTGCTATCTTGAATCCCAAACTCAACAAGAACATGATTGATTTCACAAAGAAACATAAAGAAATTAAATCAAACAAGATATCGACAACCAAGATAATCAACAATTCAAATCAAGAAATAACTCAATTTCAATCTCAAAAAATAGACAAGAGTTAACTTGATTTCTAATTCCACCCCCTCACTTAAAATCATATTGTCCCAATATGAACAATAAAAAGTAAAATGCAAAAGAAAGAGGATAAGGTACTCCCCGATCAATTTCAGCCACGGCCACGTCGTGGAGGGCTCTAGAGAATGTACAAAAGAATCTCAGTAATGTTGGTCTCGATGGAGTCTAGCCGCCCATGCACCTCATGGATTTCGCTATGCATGTTCGAGGGTGGAACAATGTACGACGCAATGGGAATTTCGACGAGGAGTCCCATCGAGTCCAAACACATAGCATCCAAAGGGTCCATTCCAGTGCCGCGGGATGTATAGTCCGAAGAAATACGCGCTCATTACGCGGGGTAATTGTGTCGGGAAAAACAATGTGCGACTCACTGGGAGTTCCGACGAGGAGTCCCATCGAGTCCAGACACCTAGCATCCATAGGGTCAATTGAAAAGCATAAGTAAATTGATTATAATCAAGGTTAACGAAATAAACGAGATGCAAGGCGATAAATTTAAGGTTCCAGAATTAGTGAGCGATCGGAATGCACAACACACTCAAAGGCACATAAACCAAAAACCCAAATTTACCTTCACACCGGTTTGCATACACCATAGAAAAAATAGTTCAACCTTACTTAACGAGGACGTAGTGTCATTATGTCCGGAATAATTATATGCAAGGAACCGGTGTATGTAATTGAGAGCGGGATCATGACTATGCCATCCTTTGGTGTTGCACACATTGTAGGTAGCACCGGGTGAACCGATAATATGAAGGACCTAAATCTATATCATCTTCTTGTTTAGAAGATATCACAACTTGATATAATTTATTACTAATATCATATAAAATATTTCACATTCACCATTTAGATCTATTTCAGATACCTCTCCAAGATTACTAATTTTTTGTTCTATTTTATTAACTTTATTATACATCTTATTAAAATATAGATATGTCATATCTATTAAACTATTAAAATCTTTACTAATATAAGTAATATTATTTTCATTCTTAGAGTATATATGCATAGTATGATTGCAATTTTTATCATTAAACAAACAATCTATTTCTTCCATGATTTTATCTTTCGTACTTAAAACCATCCGTTATCTGTGAAAATAACAAGCTTTACAACAACAAGGCTTAAATGTCACTTCACCGAACTAAGGCAAAAGTAAAGCAGAATAATATATACGAGTTTTAAGATAAATACTAAAATGAACAGAGTGCAAGATAAGATAGAACTTACAATAGTATTTGTATATTACTCACAGTCAGTGATAAATAAATCAAGTGACTTTCTATGTTAGGATGAAGGTGGCGTAGAGTAGAGAATAAGGTAGCTTTCTCTAGGTGAGCATGTTCTGGTGGTGAGTATCATCTTTCGAGTGTTGTTATTGGACGGGCTTTGGTGTTCTCGGGGAGTTTTTCTCCGAAGGCATAACAACTTATAATTCAATAATACTAAAAAGAATAGAGACAAAATCTAATATAAGCATAGTAAAGGGACCAAAACTATAATATGACCAAATAAAGTAAAAAAGAAAAGGCCAACCATCAAATATCAAACCTCATTCTCTCGGATCACCATTTAATCCACTTCCCCAATTTAGTTCAAGTCTTCAAAACTATATCAAGTTTCGTAGATCCCTCTGTATTCTTTCAACTTCCAAAAAGAAAAAAAATGGTTTTCCAAAGAGAAGAAGCAGATGAAACTGAAAGTAGATCTACAAAACAAGAGGAAGGGCTAATGAAGGAATCGAAGAAGAGGATCCTGGAGAGTGGTTGAACCTGACACTCGGTGGGAACTTATTACCAGCACGAGACTCGGAGTCTGAGTTGGACCCGCTGTTAAGACCAGTTCCTTCCAAGGTTTTCTCATGCAACTTCTGCAAGAGGAAGTTTTACAGTTCACAAGCCTTGGGTGGCCACCAAAACGCCCACAAGAGGGAGCGAGGTGCAGCCAGAAGATATCAATCCCATAGGACGATGATGAGTTTGCCGATGAACAGTCATGTGGTTCGATCACTTGGCGTTCGACAGCATTCGCTTGTGCACAAATCAACCATAGATAGAGCTGCTGCTGCTGCGAGATTTAATGATACCTACACGGTGCAGTTGGCAGTTGATGATGGGATGGATTTTATGTGGCCGGGCAGTTTCCGTTTGGATCCTCCACCATCTGAACAGCCTGCAGAACCATCCAAGCTTGACTTGAATCTTCGACTCTGATTTATCTATCTACTATCTTGTCCAAGTTTAGAAATCTCTTGAACTTTGGATAATTGTGAGGCATAAGTTTTGAGATTAGTTGTACTTTACTGTAAACATAGTGTTGAACAGATTTTTTGTTTATTTTACGTTTTCCTATAAAGTCGAGAAAATATACTTTTTGCAATTTGATCACTCACACAACCAACTGGAATCACACTTTCCTGCGGTGATGGAATGTTTGGAGCATTTTGCTTTTCATCTCACCGCAGCCTAGTTGGTGAGGTTGTTTTGCACTTAAACGTGCCTCATCCTTATCCAATTTTAACCACAGCTCAAGGCTCCCAGTGAACACATTCTGCCATCCCCAGGGAAACGGTAAGTTCTATTTCACCCTTTTCTTCACTTTTAAACAAGTATTATCCTTTTTGTTATATTATTTATTAGTACACATAATTTTAATATATTTTATTAACCAATGAGAATGCATCAAAGCTACGATATCTAGTCTCATCAAAATAAATGGACCTTAGTTTAAATGGTTTCAGCCTAGGTTGGTGACAAACGTCGTTTCATTGTCAAATAATATTTCTTAATCTTAAATAAAAATAAAAATAACATAGTAGAGAAGAAGGATTGATCTATAGGGACTTAAGAATTGTTGATATAGAAAGCTTTTGATTCTGATGTGGGAATGATAAGTATGGGGGTTTTTGTTTGAAAGGAAACAAATGTAAAATAAAATGAAGAATTAAATCTAAGTGATTTAAGTAAAACAGTCTCATGTTAGCTTTGCCTAAATTCCAATTGATCATTGAATAAGATTTTTACTTAGGATTAATGCAGTTACACTCTACAAGGCTCAACCTTTGTTCCTTGTTTTTCTATCAAGTAAACTGACAATCCAAAGCCAATCATTCGATCCCAGTCATTATTTGGACTAATCACGACTATCGTCACCACCACCAATTCAAAATTAAGTTTTGGAAAAACCCAACTCGGATTATGTTGTCTCAATGAGAATCAAATTTGATCTCAATTTCCCATAGCAGACTACCACTAAGTGTGTTCCCAGGAAGTCAAACTTGCTACCAACCAATTCTTCCTCCCAACTTTAAATCGAAACAACAATCAAGCCAACGTACACTTTTTGAAATGAAAGTGTTTTGATTTTTAAAGGAAAGGTCGATTACCAATCAAATTTTGCAGAAATTTGTTTTTTGAAACTATATAATATACATTTTCAAAAAATTGTTTTCAAAACTATAATATATGTTTAAATCGTATTTTCAAAACCATATAATATGTTTTTAAACCGATTTTTAAAAATATATATTATATGCTTAGAAAACATTTAAATTATGTGTTTTCAAAAAAAAAAATTTCAAAGACCACATTATATTATTATATATGTGCTAAATCAACCCTGGACGAAAATGAGTGTCTACAAGAGGGTTATGAGTAGTTTAGAAATTGTATAAAGAAAATGTATTGAGATGCTTTTTGAGAAATTTAATCTTATGCTTTTGTAGTTCTGTTATCAGAGATTTTGCTGCAGTTTTGAACATGCCTTCTATAATTGAGTAAAGCTAACCTCTTTTACATATGTTTTTCTATGAGAGATTAGAACACTTGATAATTTAGCAGCCAGTCAAATTTAATTAGCTTATCAAGATGCTTTATGTAACCCCTCATATCGATGCGAGTGACCCGATCCGATCCGGGGTGTCACATTAGGGCCCCGGAGCGACCCACCATAGAAAATCTCAAAAAATTAAATTTTTTATTAAAACATGTAAAATCATAAAATCATTTATAAATACAAAAGTAAAATTTTACAATATTCAAAAGTAAAACAAATTTCAGACTCATATGTAAAACAAATTACAACCTACATGCCCCATAATCACATGCACCGTACTCCGAAAGCAATGCCGATGAAATTCTCTTGCTGATGTCGAAGCTTCACTGGTACGATTCTTTTAACCTGAAATAATGAGTAATAGAGTGAGCTTTAGGAAGCTCAGTAATACAGAACTACCTATTGATGCTACAAGACATGCAGATAAATGAAAAACCATATAATTTCCTTATTTAAACAGACATATACAGGTTTTCGGGATAAGCTGGGGTTCCACTGGTAGTTCATTGAGTAGAGGCCATGAAGATCTCAGTTCATAGAAAACATTCATAATATCAAGTTTCAGGAGATCAAATAAGATGTCTAGTGTGTTCCAACCAAAACCAGTGAAAAGATATAATCTTTTAAAACATTAATTGTTACAACATATTTTCAAAATCATAGTGGAACCCTCCAACCAAACACCGTTATGCAGTTCCTCAGAACTGCATCCGTAAGGGCTTACCCTAAGCACACAACACATGAAGCCAACCTAAGGGAATGCCTTGGGGCCTATAGGCCTACCCAAGGGTATCCGTACATCTGTAAGGATTTACCAGCTAAATCAGGGCTTTACCTCCGTACTCCAAATCCTACCCATATAAAATCCAATAGAAATTAGTTTTAACCGTAAATCATAATATCTGGATCGTGATTCAGTAATATCTCATAACCGTGATAGTGAAATAAGCCATATAATTGATCACCACCTGTACACCATAAGTAGTCACATGATTAACCCAAGAGAGTGCTTGGGGCCTGAGAGCCTACCCAAGGATCACCTTAGGTCTGTAAGGATTACCATCTTGATCAGAGCTGTACCTCCATACTCCAGTCTACCCAGATAATGTCCCAATAAAACAATTCAAGTAATAACAAATGAAACCAGAAACCATAGTTCATAACTCAGTAAATTCCATGATTCCATAAATTAGGAACAATTCATATTTTTGGTGAAAACAAAAATCGGAGAACACATATCATGTTGCCATGGTTCATAAACCAGTAAATCAATACTTTCGTTAAAACTCATTTCAAAATATATAAAATCGTCATGTATTACATGTGGAACACACTAGTATTTTTCAGAAGCACTGAATAGTTATTAGGAAAACGTGAAACTTATATACTTTGATCAGATTCTAGAAACGAGGTCTGATTGAAAAGAATTGATTATTAATGGAGCTAATCAGGTATATAAAGTTGATAATTTAGAATCCATCTAGGATTCAGGTGAATCAAGAAGGTGTTCAGGACCTTTATACAAAATAATTCTAGATTCAGATTTACTGAGAGTGATTCCATTACCCAAATAATCAGGGATATTCGACATTATGCATTGAATTATTAGGATCTTATATTCGACATTAAACCAAATGGGTATTCAGGATCATTTGTATCTGAGTTACTCTTGTGTGTTTATATATGACCGAAGTGATTTGAACTAATAAGGCAGAAAAAAATTTCAGGATATTTACAATCTGTGTCGATATATCAGATTATCGAAATAACTCAAGCTGAACAACTCCCATAACTAATGCATGTCGACTGGCCCATTCGTTGCCCTTTCAGGGTATTCACTCTTTAATACCAATAATTCTTGTCCATTGATCACCTTCAGAATCATAGTTCAATATATCTTTTAAGGAGAGGAACATATATTCCAATGGTCTTTATCTAATTTCCACATAGCAACAATATCAGGAATTGACAATATACTATAATTCGTGGTTCATAACCCATAGGGATAATACATCATGTAAGATCAACAGTGTTTTCAGACTTTTCCAAGTTATTCACTTAATTCAAGATCATCAAGATACTTAATTCAATTAGTATTTAAAGCTATCTTGATCGCTTAGGGTTTCCTGAGTAATTCAATTGTTTCCACAAATTCGAATACATACAATACTTCCATTCCGTTTAACTTGGTCAAAGAATATAGTCATAGGTATTCAAGGTTGATTTATTCATTTCAAAGCTTGAGGGCATTAGTCATTCCAGGTCTTGGTAATACTTTAGGTCATTCTACACTTTAGGGGTATTTTGGTCATTTTACACTTTAAGGCATTTCTATAAATCCAATATAGATCCGGAATTTAAATCGATGATTCTAAGGTTCAAGTAAATCAAGACATGACCTTTCAGGTCGCCTCTATTATCAATAGTCATCCATTTGTTTTTTACTCTTTAAGGGTATTATCGTAATTTTATTCAATTCTGTCATTGGAATTACTTCGGGTAACTTAAGCTTGAAAGTATTCCAGTTCCATTAAAGTTTAGAGTACTTTTCTCATTTGCTCACTAGAGGTTAATTTCACCACTAAGGAAAGTTTTGGTCATTTTTCAGTACAAGGGCATTTCATAATTTTACCCCTTAGGGTTAATTTTGGTAATTTCTTATCCAAATAATCTCGATATTAAACCTTTAAAGAGATTTATCAAAACTTACAAATCTTGAAATCGATTCATTTATTATTAATCAATGAACTCATAATTATTTTTTATTGATCTTCCAATTCTTAAGAGAAACCATATAAGTCCTATCCGGTTACCGACTTTTATAATATTCGGATCGATTTTAGGAAATGATCACTGCATACATGTGACCAATTATACTCATCCATGTAGAAATCAATACTAACATGTTCCATAAAGCATGAAACAGGTAGTAATGTATTACCTCAGTTTTCGTGCCATACCGATAGACCAATTAATCTCCATTTGATTACCCTCGAACTTTAGTTCAACGTTTAATAATTCCTCGGATATAGCAACCAAATTTACATCAGAAATTGAACTTAATTGAGAAACCATAATGAATCCGAAGATAAAACATTGAAAATTGACTTACCGGGTGCGAATTTGGAAAAATAGACTTCAGATTCAGAGTCAGGACATCGAAAACATAAAATAGGGCTTTTCAGAAATTTTAACTTTTCGGTCAAAGTCACGGTCAGACTAGTCAAAGTCAATGGTCTAACCAGTCAACTCTGACCAAAGTCAACGGGTCAGGTCAGGTCAACAGTTCGGGTCGGGTAGACGGGTTGACTCGGTTCAGTTCAAACAGGGTTGACATATTCAGACCGATCCAGACATGTGGACTAGTTCTGAAGACTTCCCTGGCGTGGACAACCCCACGTGCACACGGCAGTGTGTGG